GCAAAGAATTGGACATGACTGAACAACTGAACTGAACGGAACTGAAGTTAGAGGAAAATGGTGCATGTGGATGATGTCATTTAATACAACCACCCTGTGAGGTAGCTACTACTACTGGCCCCAGTTTTAGAAGAGGAAACAGGTTCACGGGGATTCAGCTCTCTGGACTGTGTCTGCTTTATCTTTGTTCCCCCCACCACAACCCCATCTCCCTTATTCACCATGGGGCCTGATTCCTCGGAGGTGCTAAATATATATCTGTTGGGTGAAAAAATACAAATCAGATCCTGGATAAAATAAACAACGAGGCGGCTACCACATCGAACGTCAAGCCCTTTGGAAGGAGGGACCGACGCCTCTCCCTCTCTGCGAGCCGCCCCAGTGCAAAAGCTCTGCAGTGAGAAGGGGTCGACAGTCAGCTAGATAAATGCACCTCTGGCTAATTGATCTGCCTGGATGATTGGAACGAGAGGCTTGAGATGGAAGGTTTAATTATTCCAATGAAACCTCCACTTCATTGAAAGGACTTCTGGCAAAAAAAAGGAAAAAAAAGGTGGGGGCGGGGGGAAAGATTATTGGGAAGGATAATCTACTGCCTGTGAGAACGGGCTGGAGACACGGGGACACACCACACTGTCTACCGTGTTTATAGCTTTGAAATGAAAGCGTAATGGAAAAGAACCAGAAGCAGCCCTTCCTGGGTCTCCTGCCCTGCGGTTCCTTTCACTCCTCCAAAAAAGCGCACTGAGAGAAGCAGCTCGAAAATTCCTCCTCAGGATGCTTCTCTGGCATCCCAGTTAACTCTTAACCTCTGTCTGTCTCAGCTCATTCAGCTGAAATATTGGGATGATGACACTTCCCATGAATTAACACGTGTACAACAGTCAGGAGAGCTTCGGTGATACATATTGTGAAAGCAGCAATTATCATTTTAAATTCACAGTGGAGTGGCAGGCGCTGCCAGCAGCTAATCCGATGTCCATTCTCCCTCTCTTTTTTAATAATAAAT